CTTAGAGGAGCACGTGCCCTTCCTCCTAGCTAGGTTTAGCTTTTGCTCCTGTGCTCTGGATCCCATGTGACCCATTTCCTCTGAGATTTGCTTCTTCAGTGTTTGTGTATCTCCAGTCTCTCCATATGAATCAGCAGAGACTCTCTCTTGTCTAGTCGACCCTAAACCGATTCTTCAAACCTGAGTGCCTCGTGGTAGCCCAGCCCTTCTCTTCACAGCTGGGGTTCTGGAAAGAGTAATTGAACTTGCTGTCTCCTCTTCCTTACTTTCCATGTGCTGTAAAGTGATTTCTATGTCTAATTCTCCTCTTCCTTCACCATAGCCTTACTGAAATTGTTCCTGTTAAGATAATCAAACTTCTGAATTGTCAAATCCAGTGACCCAGAGAACACACTTTTACTCATTACCTTTCTCAATATTCCTCCTAGGTTTGGCATTATTCACCACTGTCCTGCTTTTGAAACCACCACGTCTGGCTTCTGGGACACCATCCTCTCCTGGTTTGCTGCCCATCTTTCTGGCACCTCCATGTTATATTTCTGTGTCCAGTTCTCCTGTGTCCACCTTAGAGCTCCTTCCTCAGACTTGTCTACTAAGCTTTTCTTCAACAATCCTATCTGTGTCTGTGGCTTCGACCACCACATCTCCTCTCCATCCTTTCTCTTGAGCTTATTACAGCCAATTACTTATGGACCACACTCCCCTGTGTCCCACAGGCTCCTCACAGTCAGCATGTGCAAAACTGAACACATCATCTTCCCCACCAAACTGCCTCCTCTTCTAAGAGTATTAGCCAAAAAAAAAAAAAAAAAAAAAAAAAAAAAAAGCAGCTTCATCTCATCTCCACAGCCTGAAAATTTGGATTATCCTTGACTTCTCTTTCTCCCTCATCTTCTACTGTCAACAGAGCATCAATGCATGTTGATTACATTTTACAAACATATATTATATATATTCTGTATGTCCCTTCTCCTCCCCACAGCTGCTCTTGTTCATTTATTTCTCCTGCTTGATCTGTGGAATAGCCTTGAACAGCACACCTCCCGTTTCTAGTCTCTTGCTTTCCCCTGTGCTTCTTCCATTAGAAAAATCAGTGATATATCATTAGAATGATGATTGCATTGTATTTTGATCTCATTATATTGTGATTGATTGTATTATGATTCAATGTCTATTGTTCTACTGAATTGAGAGCTTCTTTGAGGCAGGTATTGCATGTTATTTATCTTTGCATCCCTGATGCATGTGATAATGATGAGCATATAGTAGGTGTTTAGTAAACACTTGTTCAATGAATAAATGACTCAACCTCTAACAAGAAGAGCAGACTGAGCACAGATAATCAATCTTGAAAGCTTTGAGCACTGTCACATTTTAGCAGCTTGAATGCCTAAGTAGTTACTGATGTGACAATAACACATCTGGTGGTTGAACTTAACACTATTGTTTTAAAATAATGTTAGTTAATTTTGCCTTTTAAAATAATATGAGTTTATTGTAGAAAAGTTAGAAAATATGGATAAGCAATAGGAAGAAAATAAAATCATCCATAATTCCATCACCTGGTAGATAACTACTGATACCTCATTGATGTAGATCTTCTCAGTTTGTTTTCTAAATTTTTACTTTCAGTAAAGAAATATGATGAAGCCTGGGGGATGTCTTAAATGCTGAGCTGTCCTTTGCAAGAGTAACCAGTCATTAAATCATGGTGCTCAAGGATTCTTGGCAGACCTGACCTAGATGTAGGTGAGTGTTCACATCCGTCAGCACTAATCTGGCGGCTAGACGTTAGCAGCATCATGAGCAGTGATAATACTTTTGCTAGAGAGGTGTCACACTAGGGTGGTATCTTAGTCAGTTCAGGCCACTGTAACAGAAAACCACAGACTAGGTGGCTTAAACAACAGAAATTTATTTCTCATACTTCTGGAGGCTGGGAAGCCCAAGATCAAGATTCCAGCAGATCTGGTGTCTGGTGAGGGCCGCTTTCTGGTTTGCAGATGGCCATCTTTGGTTGTATTCTTACATACCAGAAAGCAGAGAGAGAGGAGAAGCAAACTCTCTTGTGACTTTTTATAAGAAGGGAATGATTTCCATTGACAAGGGCTCCACTCTCATGACCTCATTACCTCTCAGAGGCCTACCTCCTAATACCATCACATTGGGAGTTAGGATTTCAACATACAAATTTTGGGAGGAAACAAACATTTAATCCACAGCAGGTAGTTTCTCTTGTTTGAAGCTAGACCCTAGACAGTGCTGTCTACCATTTGAAAGAGAGAACAGAGACTGGGAAAGGAAATTTACATAAATAATAAACCTTCAGGACTCCAATCCTGGTGCATAGTGGGAATGCAGAGCAGGAATCAGGTACGAGGACAGAGCACTTGGGGCAGGATAATGAGAAGACCATAGCCATCTGGGCATGAGAGACCCTACTGGATTATCCCGGGACACTACAGCCAGGACCTGGGGTGGCCAGACCCATTCTGGTCCACCTCCTGATGGGGATTGAGCTCCTAATGTATTGTCAAGCTGGGCCAATTTGGTTTAGAAATCAGGAAGAATTGAGCTGCCAAGTTGAAAGACTTAATAATTGTAGTTATGTGAGGCTGGGAAGGTAGGAAATGACAAATCCCAAGCCCTTTGGAGTGGTGAGATCCCACTACAACCTATTTAATTTTGTGACCCATATAACTGTTGTATGCCATATGTCTATATAGAATAATTAAAGCTAATTAGAATTAATTTTGGTTGGTGAGTGTTTGAAGAGTTTTATAATAACTCTAGAGATAATTAGAGATGCTCTGGGATGTCACAAAAGAAGCATTTGGAATAATTTGTCTAGATGTTTAAGCCAGAGATGTGCAATGAAGGCTAGTAACAGAAATGAAAATTCTATAATTGCAAGAACACTGAATCAGGAAGTAAGAATTGGAGGTTAAAATCGGTATGCTGCTTAACAGGTTCTCTGAAAGACACAAACAACCCACCAACAACTTTGCTTTGTAGCATTTGCCAATTTCTGTGGTGTAAACACTCCCACCATGGTGGATTTCAAGTATTCCATGGTTTAACAACTGGCTCACACAATTCCTGAATAGTTAATAATCAGCTTTTATTAACCTTGTGCAAGGCAGCTACAGCACACCAGTGTAATTTTCACTGAACTTCTAGTTAACTTTGTGATCTTGGGTAAATCATTTCACTTCTTTGGATCTCGGTTTTATCATCAAAAAAGCAAAGTTGTTAAAATAACCTCTAAGGTCTTTTCCAAAGTTAACATTCTAATAATGCAGCTGGTATTATAGGGCAAGACTAATGTCACATAATATGCTAAAAGAGTGACATCAAGAACTTTTATGAATGTTATTATAATATACTAGAACATATAATTTGGTATCAAGTCGGTGTAATAATCACCCTGTTCTGATTCCTGCTGTCGATGTGTGTGTCCTTCTCTAGTTCCTCTTCCCAGAAGGATTAAAAACAACAGTGCAGCCATTAGAGAGCCAAATGTCACAGCCCAGGAGTGAGGTAAGAAACCATTGGCTGCCGAGCGCATGGCTCACGCCTGTAATCCCAGCACTCTGGGAGGCTGATGTGGGTGGATCACGAGGTTAGGAGTTTGAGACCAGCCTGGCCAACATGGTGAAACTCCATCTCTACTAAAAATACAAAAATTAGTGGGGTGTGGTGGTGCGTGCCTGTAATCCCAGATACTGAGGAGGCGGAGGCAGGAGAATTGCTTGAACCTGGGAGACGGAGGTTGCAGTGAGACGAGATTGCACCATTGTACTCCAGCCTGGGTGAGAGCAAGACTCCATCTTAGGGGAAAAAAAAAAAAAACATTAGCTACAGTCAGAGAATTCTACACTCAGTTTCTGGGTTCTAGAGTCAGCCGAGGGACTGAGAGAAAATTTCGTAGCTTAGATACATGACCCTATCCGACCATGGGACAGATCCAAGAGGGGTGGTTTTCCTTGGACTAGTAATGACAGACATGAGAAGCTAATTTGTTCTAAGCTTTTCAAAGGAAAGCTTAGGTGTCTTTTATATTTCTATGTGTCCAATCCTGGCCCTTAATAGGAATACAGTAAGCATTTGTTGAGAGAAAGTATAAACCATTGGGATTTTTTAACAGAGCAGATTCAGAATTTTAAAATATTAATTCAGCAGTAGTCATGTGCTTCTCTGAGTTTACTTTAATAACGCAGAAGAAATATATATTTCTTTTTTTATTTTTCTAAGCCTGAGTTTCGCTCTTGTTGCCCAGGCTAGAGTGCAATGGTGCGATTTCGGCTCACTGCAACCTCCACCTGCCAGGTTCAAGCGATTCTCCTGCCTCAGCCTCCCGAGTAGCTGGGATTACAGGTGGCCACCACCACGCCTGGTTAACTTTTTGTATTTTTAGTAGAGATGGGGTTTTACTATTTTGGCCAGGCTGGTCTCAAACTCCCAACCTCAGGTGATCCACCTAACTTGGCCTCCCAAAGTGCTGGGATTACAGGTGTGAGCTACTATGCCTGACCAGAAATGTATATTTCAAAAGTGAAAAACTAATTTCTTGTTATAAGAGAAAACTTTTTAGTGCCTTCCGTTCAAAAATTGGTCATATAAATCAACCTTCTATCTAGATAACATAATTTATTACATAACCAGAGCGTAATGGAGAGAAACATACATGAGAAAAACCCACACTGGGCAAACCAGGTGTTTACTCCCACCAGTGAGTGTGCCCCCTTCCCCACCAGCCTCAGCCAGTGGAATTAACTTGTCTCTTTGGAAAGGAAAAGATAATATCGATCTGCAGAGGATACTTATCTATATATCATGTGTTGCTTTACCAACATTTAATCCTGGTGATGACCCTCGTAAGCTAAGCATTGTCATGCCCATTTTGAAGAAAAAGAAACTGAAACTCGGAGAGATTAAGCAACAGAACCAGCTAGTGGTAGAGCCAAGAGTTAACACCCGAAATGTGGTACTTTTCTCACCAGACCAGGCTGCCCCAGGGCTTCCGGGCTTCCTCTTCCTGGTGTCTCTCTTCTGTGATTGCTGTAGGAACTTGGATGATTTCTCATGTGAATGAACCTGGCTCAGCCCATGCTCAGGCAAACAGAAGCGCCAGTCTCTGACAGGGTTCAGAGCAAATTTGTCAAGTCAGGCTGGTCCCAGACTGCGGTATCTGGGCTGTACTTTGCCCTAATGAATCAGCTCCATGGAGGCTGGGCAGTTGCAAAGGTAACTAACATGCTGTACATCTGAGGGCCCAGTGAGTCTTGGTAGATGTGGCACCTGGACTCTGACCATCTCCAAGAGGAGAGGAGGCAGTCTTGGGCTAGGTCCCTGGAGCAGCGCTGAAGGAAGGTAGGAAGCCGTCGGAGCAGGTGTATGGGAACACTTGCTCCCTTCTTTCCCTTCTTTGAGCTGGACATGCTGTGCTGTCAGATTAGGAAAGGCAATATTGCCTTTACCGGGACTAGGAAAGGTCATTTATGTGAATGTTGTGAGTGTGATTTGTCATCATAGATGTAATTCCTTCATTTTGAGAATCGAAGGGGCTATTTATTTGGCATTCTTAAATACAATCTGAGGACTTATTTGCTGGAGTTGATGTCTCTTGGCAGCAAAATGATGTGATTTTGGTGGAAAGATTTGGTGTTGCGCCTTTGCAGTGGGAGAAGGGCTGTCTAGTGGGACAATCTGGGGACAAGGGGAAAGCAGCTTTCTTCTTATTCCACTTACGTGGTCCAAATGGTTTTGAGTTCCACTGGCCTTCAGAAAAGGCTCATGTGCCCTCCCCTGTATCTGGGACATTTGGCCTTTCCTGGGGTTTGCTGGCAAAGGCTGTCATTGCACCTGGCTTTTTCAAGGGAGTGAGCTGACATGGGAAGGAAGCCACAGGTTCCCCCGGGGTTGGGAGTGACCTTGAAGGGGGAGGCCCTCTCTGCGCCTTGCTCTTCTTGTGTGTTCTGCTGTCTCATAGCTCTTGGCTCCCTGGTGTTTGAGCAGAGTGACGTCTCGATTTCAACACCTACCCTTTTGACCTTCTGTTCTGATATGAATTTTTATATGAGGCTGGGAGCTTCAGTAGTGGGAACAAGTTAACTGATTTGATCAGAATCTTGCAACCTAAAACAGTTCCCAGGGAAGAAAAGAATCGGAGCCGACCTAGCCTGTGGATGCTCCTGACACAAGAGAATCCCTGAGCAAAAGTGAGGTCTGAGGTGTGCTTTCTTTCGCGGGTGCAATCCCCACACCCTGCCACCCTGTGCTATGGGCAGAGGAACCTTGAAGGTAATCAGTCCCTGGAGCAATTTCTCATTTTGAGGAATACATGGGGAAAATTAGTTTGGCGGTAGGGAGACTTCCAGGCTTTAAAATCTCCAGCCAGGAAGAATACTGAGACATGGCTATTTGCTTATGAAAACAGTCCCAAACTTGCCTCTTGTTGGCTCCTCTGGAAGAGGAACAGGTATGACCATATTACATAGGTTCTGTTCTTTGAGGGGGTTAATGTAAGGATTCAGAGAAGGTGCATGTTGAAGAGGTCAGTGAAAACTTTTTTTGTTTAATAAACATCTTCAGCCACTCATACCACCCCAATCTTTATCCTTGATAGCACTGTTATTTATTGAGCAATTACTATATACCAGGTAACATGTTAGGCACTTTGGGTAGGTTATCTTAACTCTGTGAATAACCTTGCAAGGTGGTTATTACAGTCTCCATTTCCTGGGTAAGGAAATTGAAGCTTGAAAAAATGAACTAGCTAGTTAAGTGGCAGAGTTAGGATTTGAACTCTGATCTAGCTCTCTCCAAGACCCACTCTATTTCTGATACCACAGAGCCTTCACTGTAAGTGTTAAATAAACACTTGCTGGGGGAATATGTGAAGAAACATCAACTGAGATTCCTTGATAGCATTTTTAGCTGTACCTGTTACTGTTATCTGTCTCCCATGCCTCCCCCATCTGTCGTTGTTCTGAATGTACTTTTTAATTTTTTAAGCAATATCAATATAATGGTCTAGTCTGTTATTTGCTTCATGTATCTGATAATTTTTTTTCCAGATTTCTCAGTATCCATGCCCATATGGTTTGTTTTAGATAGATTTCAAGGACCATAGCTGTTCTTTTCATAAAACCTAATCAACCACCATGTTAGGATACAGGCTTTAAATGATGATTTCTCCTTTTTCCTCTGTCTGCAGGAAGGTAAAATAACTACACAACTAACTCAAAACCCAAGACAAATTCAGAGAATCAGGGATGGAACTTTGGGTTCCCCAGAGGCCGCCCCAGACACGAGGGAGGGCCACAGCACCCTCAAAGGATCCAGACCGCGGGTTTCAGAGAGATGGACATCATCGGTCTGTCCCTCAGGCTCGGCACAATGGAGAGAGGTTCCACCAATGGCAAGACAACCGCGGGAGCCCCCAGCCACAGCAGGGGCCCAGGGCAGACCATCAACAGCCCTATTATGCATCCAGACCTGGGGACTGGCATCAGCCTGTGCCTGGGATTGACTATTATGAAGGTGGTTATTCCAATCAGTTGTACTCAAGGTATGGCTTTAGGGCTTGGAATGAATGCAACTCTCCTAAATGCTTATGAATAGATTGTTCTTTTCCTTCTTCCTTTTCCTTTTATTTCTCTCTCCCCACTTGTTTCTTTTTCTTTTTCTGTCTTACTACATTTCTTTAGCTAAACCCTGTCCTCTCCTAAATTGGTTTTTGGTGGAGATAGTATCAAAGATAGTATTTCTTTCATCTTTATCCCCTAATGGAGCTTCTTAAAGAAGCCATCACAAATGTGATTGGGTATTGAGGGCTAGTGAAGCAGGGGTGGGGTAGAGGGAAGAAAAAGTGGTGAAATTCAAGACAGCAAATGGAATCTTCTTGCTCTGGGATTGCAAAAGGTAGTATATGTAGACTATGGAAAAGCTTTCCTTGGAGCTCCCTCTAAGGAGTTTCTCATTGTCAGTGGACCACTCTGCCTTGGGATTAGCATGACGCTACCAGCACCAAGAAGAATCCTAGTGCCTACAACAGTACCTGGAGTGTAACAGGCATACCAGTAATCTGTATTGAAGGAATGGGAACTTTAAAAACACTGGCCTTAGGGAAAGCAGATGTAAACTTGCAGGCTCCAAGTTCAGAAGGAGGAGGTTGCAGTGAGGTCATTCTGTCCGGGTTGGAGATTCTGGAATTCCTGCTCCCCTGGTCTGTAGACCTGGACTTAGTGTTTCATGGAATGTTGGAAGCCATCTATGTTCTTCTTTAGCTTTTCCAGTTGGGGTGATATTTACCTGCTTAGATTCGGGGTTGAAATTACAACAATTATTTCAAAGAATTTTTTTCCCTAAGAAATGCTGAAGAATTGCTAATTGGGCTGGGTGCAGTGGCTCATGCCTATAATCCTAGCACTTTGGGAGGCCGAGGTGGGCAGATCATCTGAGGTTGGGAGTTTGAGACCAGCCTGGGCAACATGGTGAAACCTCATCTCTACTAAAAATACAAAAACAAAACAAAACAAAGCAAAAACCCAAAACACAATTAGCTGGGCATGGTAGTGCACGCTTGTAGTCCCAGTTACTTGGGAAGCTGAGACGGGAGAATCGCTTGAACCCGGGAGGTGGAGGTTTCTGTGAGCCGAGGTTTCTGTGAGCCGAGATTTCATCACTACACTCCAGCCTAGGTGACAGAGTGAGACTCTGTCTCAAAAAAAAAAAAAATTGCTAATTGATAAAAACATTAATATTATGATGTTCCTCTCCCCAATCTTTTTGGATTGTTATATTCTCAAAGAGAGGCATGTTCAGGACAGAGGCAATAAAAGTAATCAGGCTTAAGATAGTCCAGTTGGAATTTTTAATTTCAATTCCATTTGAAACAAGCATGGAAATTACAATGGTATATTGGAGACTTAACACAGTCATCTCAGGAAGTGGTTTTCTCAGATGTCAGGACAGAGTTTTCTAAGATAATATGTATGTATTTGGGGAGTGAGAGTTTTACTATAAAATAAAAGTTTTAAATAAAAAAGATGCTTTTAGAAAAAGAGTTGTTTTTTTTTTTTGAGACGGAGTTTCGCTCTTGTTACCCAGGCTGGAGTGCAATGGCGCGATCTCGGCTCACCGCAACTTCTGCCTCCCGGGTTCAGGCAATTCTCCTGCCCCAGCCTCCTGAGTAGCTGGGATTACAGGCATGTGCCACCATGCCCAGCTAATTTTTTGTATTTTTTAGTAGAGACGGGGTTTCACCATGTTGACCAGGATGGTCTCAATCTCTTGACCTCGTGATCCACCCGCCTCGGCCTCCCACAGTGCTGGGATTACAGGCTGGAGCCACCGCGCCCGGCCCAGAAAAAGAGTTTTAAGTAAAAAAAGATTTTACTATAAAAATTGTGCTCTTGTTATGCAACAAAGTCCTGACTCCTCTGATTCTGTTTACAGGATCTAGAATTAACTATGGCTTTCAAGCAGATTCTAGCTTGGGTCACAACTCCGTCCTCTGAAACTGTTAAGTTTGTCAAGTCCTCCATTGGTTTCTCTCTTTACCACCCGTGTCCTCCACTGACCGGCCTTCTTTGTGATATTTTAGGCCAGGTTATGAGAATTCATATCAGAGCTATTACTCTCCTGTTCTGAGGGAGGAATATGCTTATGGAAGTTACTACTATCATGGACCCCCGCAGCGGCTGCAGGAAGAAAGAGGTATGGAAAAGTCTCCGAGAAGCCTTTGGGATTTGGGGATGGGGCAGCTGGTCTGAGAGGCAGGGGAGAGACAAAAGGAGCCATGTTCAGACCTCACCTTGGGCATCCTTTTTTGGCCAGATGAGACCGCAGCAGTAACACTCCTCCTAGATGTCCTGGGGTGTAACGGAGTTGTTTTCCTTTGTATGCACACATGATGGTACTGTTACTAGTACTGTGGGGATTTGGCACTTCACGTTTTTTCTCCTACTTTGCATTATAGCCAAGATTATAGTCTTTGACCAAGTAACAATGAAGTCAGTTCTTAAGGACATCTGTTGGGCTATCACTTTACCCTGAGGGCAGCAG